CTGCTAATGCATCGACCCTCATATTTACATCGTACAACAGGGAGGAATAGCATTCCAGTTCATCAGGCTATAGCTAAATCTATCATCCAAATGAACAGGAACTTCCACCTTAACCTCTTTAATTGATCCACTGGTACCAATGAGAATATTAATAAGCAAAATATAAGAATCTAAGCTCAGGTACAATATTCCACCATTTGTGACATTCCATCTCTTACACCATATTCGATCCCAAACCACACTAGATGTATCAAAACAAAACAAAAAGGAACTAAGTACACGTTTATTATTCATGTCGATTACTAGCCTCTATCCCATATCATTAAATTCTTTTCCAGACTCTATTGTTTCTCTGTATCTTTAAATTATAGACTTAATGTGTATTTGGGCAGTGGCCCCAGAGAACTTTTCTATAAAATTTAATTAGCCTTAATCACTTTAACTTCTGTCTCCAGATTCTTACCCAGTAAGTTAAATGAATTGTTTCCAAATGATGCACACTTTGATGCCACAGCTTTTTTACTTTAGCCATAAAACTTGCACGGCGAGGTGTTTTCTTGAGACCAGCACCAAATGAAACACGCTCACAGAAGAGTGGGAAAACAAATAGAAATAACAACAGAGTAAAATACAAAAGTCACCTTTTATGATAAGTTGTAAGATTTATTTAAAGACACTAAAGGGGCACAGCTCAAACATATAACAGAAACTGTTAGAAGTATCAAAAGCTAAAAAAAATTTAGCAAGCCCATTAGAAACGGAAAATGCAAGAGCAAGGGTTCATATTTTGTTGCTACAGAAATATGAATCCTTGCTCTTGCACATATATAGCATCTATCAACCAATTACCCAATCTCTTGGCAATGTCAAAATACTCACATAAAGCATCCATCTAATACCCAATCAAGCATCCCTGCAACTTAGACATATATAGATATTTTGACTTTGATAGCATGAAGCCTTGGCAAAGCCCATTTGATTTACACTGATTACGCAAGAAATAAAGGTACCCATAGCGAAATAACTGCCAATTCAAAATTTCTAAAAAATGAGGCAGCAGACAGTCAAGAAGAGTGACTAACCACTTTTGAGCCTTCTTTAGTTTCATCTGCTGCGGTGGTTGTGGCGGCATGCCCTGTTTCCTCACCACCAGTCACATTGTTGTTGGTACTGGTGGCTGAAACCGCATTAGGATCTGTATGAACGACAGCGTTCTCCTTGGCGGCACCGGCACTTGCCGGAAAAGGACGAATTTCGGGTTCAATTTCGGATTCATGCACATTGCTCCCCAAAAATTCTTTGCTCAATTCTGAATTTTGCACATGAAGACTATTAGTATTATTAGTTTCAGTAACAACCTGACACTCACAATCCTCTTTGGCAATTTCCGTTTCAGTGGGAACAGCAACAGCTTTCTCGCTCTCGTCCCCAAAGCAGAAGAGGACGCTTCCATCAAACCACTCTGTCACAAGAATTACAACCCAATAAGAAAATAAATAAATAAATATGTATTTGTTAATACTCTGTTGTTTGTTTCCTGAGAAAATTGGCAGCATACATACCGCTTGTGGAAATCAGATGTAATTGCGAGGATGAATGCGGAAGAAGCGTAGGCCTGGGCTTAGGAAATCCTGCAATTGGAGTGTGAATTCTACCAAGTTTTTCATGGAAGAAGGGCTTTGGAGATGGAGTGGGGGCTGGAGAGAAGGCAGAGAAGCTCAAACACCGACTTCTGACCAGTCATAGAAAAGGATCAGCCATTTTCTGATTTATTTAAGCATTTAGATTTATTTATTTATAATGGCAAGGGCAAGGTAACCTTCTGGATTGTTTTTTGGTATTGATTTTGTTTTTTTGTTTTTAATTTTATCAGAATATTGATTCTGTTATCACTCCAGTGCCACTATGGCTTAAGATTGAGTCTCAAGAAAAGGAGGCGGTGGAAAACGGTCATTCTCCCGGCGCACGTGGCACGGATGTTTAAGGGCCTGGTGCCAGACAATGACACATCATTTCTTCAAGAATGTTCTCCCGTATAATAGTTAATTAAATTTGCAATTACCTAGTGTAATAGTTAATTAAATTTGCAATGGCTTGTAGTTGGTGCAGTTAAGAGCATTTATCTTTGTATTTGAAATTTGATTTTTCTCTCCCACTATTACTTGTATTTTACTAAAAAAAGAAGTTTGCATAAATATTATCTGAACTTTTAGACTTGTGCGTAATTAATACTTAAACATTTAATTATTATTATTAACCACCTGAATTTTGTAAAGTGTTAAAATTTAACATTCACGTCTAAAATTGTTAAAAATTTAAATGGTAATAACACACAAGCCTAGAAGTGATAAAGAGATTGTGTAAAGGTTGTACCAACTTTTAAAGGCTTTTCTTTGCACAAATCATTTTTGTAATTCAAATTCCAAATGCTCAGCCTTAGATCTTAGAATTATAGGATATGACTTTCATCTTGTCAAAGGAATGAAGACGACTTGGCATCAACGTATTTTCCCGTAAAATCATATTTGACTGTTTTATTTCATAATATCATAGGTTGCATTTCATTTACTTTTCATAATTTAAAAAAAAAAATTGTTTTATGCGGAACATGACCGCTAGGATGACAACTGTTGATGTTAAAAAATGCAACCAACTTAGAAGTTAGCTTGCCTTTGGTCGGGGCATCCTATGCTATGACTGGTGGAGAGTTCATCCACAAGAGAAGAGAGCAAATGTGAAGTCTTAAACACCGATGTAGTACTAGCCGATGATTTTCCGATACTTAAGTTAGCATGAGTGTTAGGTAGGTAAAATAAAAGATACTTTATATAATTATTTCGATGTGTGACTGTTGGCGTCATTTAAGAGGCTAACATGTGTCCCTATGCTTGAGCAGCACGGCAAGTGCCTTTGTTGAACTGGAGCGGCAAGTAGACCTGCCGAAATTGATTTTGATATGAACTTGTTCATCCATACATCTCATGTTCAACCTAGATGCCATTTCAAGAAGACCTGAGGAGCTCCATGAGGTATTGCTGTCACTTAGATTTAGGTAATTTGACGAATCAGATGCATACGTATTGAGTTTTTGTTGAAATTAGCTTAGACATGTTCCCAAATCGAATCCACATATTTTTGATAAAATTCCAACTTTAAGTTTCATCTAAATAATTAATGTACCCTCCATATAGACTTGCCTTGAATTTTTAATTTTTAAATAATTTATTTTCTTGAAAACTTTTCACTTCTATGATGATAGTTAAATTTTTGTCACCCCTCTTTTTTTCACATGAAATTTATAAATTCTTTTTTTATGACGTATATCAATTTAAACTTTTTTTTAAAATCTTCGTCCAAATTCGAAGTTTATTATCTTCATCCAAATACACAAATAAAATACTTCTTTAGGTATACACATTTGTAGTTAAAAATAAATAATTAATTAATTAAAAGTGAATGGGAAAAGCAAAGAAATTTTAAAAAAGGGAAAGAAAAAAAAAATTCTGAATTGGCTATCAATTTGTAAGGGAAAAAAAGAAAAAAGAAAAGATAAATCCTTTCCCAGATATATCATCCTGTTCATGTATTGAAAGAAAACAAAGATGATATAATTGTATGATTTTGCAAGAACCTTTATCATTGATATTTTGGAGGCGAAGCCTGTGGAGGGAGAAAAACAAAGACAAAGTAATGGTCCACGTGGTTGGATGCAATACAAGGATGCGGATGGAGGTCTGGTAGTAGTAGTTTCCCATTGGTCCGAAATCTATCCAAGACACATCCTCAGATATCATTAGATCTGCCCCCTCCAACTCACTTCTCATAAAAACCACACAAAAGTCTTCTCAGCCTATACCAACTCTCTGCTCTAAAATTGTTCTAAAAATTGTAGATAGATAGAGTGCAAGAGATAGAGAGAGAGAGTGAGAGATCTAGAGAGAGAAACAGAGGGAAATGGCAGCAACAACTGGTGCAGTGCTTAATGGGTTGAACTCACCCTTCTTGTGCGGAGGCAAGAGAAGCCAGGCCTTGTTGTCTGCTGGTTTTGGAACCACCAGAGTTGGAGGAGGCCCTGCTGCTCCTAAGAGGTTCATTGTGGTTGCTGCTGCTGCACCTAAGAAGTCTTGGATCCCAGCCGTTAAAGCCAGCAACAACTTCATCGATCCTGAGTGGCTCGATGGCTCGTGAGTTTCATTTCAACCATCAACCATCAACCATGTTAATATACATACATTAGAGTAGTTTAGAATATCAATTTGTCCAAAAAAAGAAGAGAGTATAATATATGATATTGTATGCATGCAGGCTTCCAGGTGACTACGGTTTCGACCCGCTAGGACTAGGCAAGGACCCAGGGTTCCTAAAGTGGTACAGAGAGGCTGAGCTCATCCACGGAAGGTGGGCAATGGCGGCCGTGGTTGGCATCTTTGTAGGCCAGGCCTGGAGTGGTGTCCCATGGTTCCAAGCCGGAGCCGACCCCAGCGCTATAGCACCCTTCTCCTTTGGCTCACTGCTTGGCACTCAGCTCTTGCTCATGGGTTGGGTGGAAAGCAAAAGATGGGTGGACTTCTACAACCCTGAGTCCCAGTCCATTGAGTGGGCCACACCGTGGTCCAAGACTTCGGAGAACTTTGCCAACGCCACCGGAGAGCAAGGCTACCCTGGGGGCAAGTTCTTCGACCCCTTGGGCTTCGCCGGCTCCATCCAGAACGGAGTCTACATTCCAGACAGCGAGAAGTTGGAGAGACTGAAATTGGCCGAGATTAAGCATGCAAGGCTTGCTATGGTGGCTATGCTAATTTTCTATTTTGAGGCTGGACAGGGGAAGACACCCCTTGGAGCTCTTGGCTTGTAAATCATTTGGTATTTTATGTAGATATAATTTAATTTAATTTGATGAGTATCACCTAAAATCGGCATCTCTTACCTGGCAGAAAGGCCTCCCTCCCTCTTAAACAATAGGTAAGGAAACCAGCACAATATGCATTTTCTCAGTCTAATTTAGGAGAGATAATATTCCATATTTAGACAACTTCATACCTTGTCTTCCAAATCATTACAAAAACTAAGCATAGAAATCCTTTTCTGATTAACTCACCTAAAACACGTAAATCTAATCAAACTGCCACAAGGCGTAAACTGCCGAGAGGATTAAAAAGGAAAAAGAGAAAAGGAAAAGAACAAAAACACAAAGATCAACCAATTTTAGTGATGAAATAACAAAAACATTCGAGATCAGTCACTACCAGTACCAGTAGCCATCAAAAACTCTCCCTCACACACCACTTCACCTCCCACATAGGCCTTGCCTTCCATCTTTGCTATTCCAAAGCGTTTCTGCAGCTTGACTAGTGTCATTCTCATCACTAATGTGTCGCCAGCAATCACTGGTTTCCGAAATCGCACTTTGTCAATACCAGCAAAAAAGAAAGTGTCACGAGAGCCTCCCACTTCCGGTTGCAACATAACCAAGCCACCGACCTGTGCCATTGCCTAGATCCAACAAGCACAGACATATGTCATTACTAATCCCAACAGAATTAGGCAATTGTTAAAGGGAAATTTGGTCATCTTCAGCAATATCCATTATCTTGTTAAGAACACAGGATGTAATTCTAGCAAAAGTATTTCCTAAAGCAGTTATAACTGGGCTTACAACTTTTCTTAAGAATCAAATGCATGATATGAATGGGAGTAAGGCTTCCATTACATAATGAACTATAATGTCTTTAACATGACTTTGTCCAATGGCCTTCTGAAGTTTGATCCTCACACAATATGAATAATTTTCTTGTCTTGTCTTAAACAAGCAGAGGCTAAGGTGCTAATGAGGGAAGTTTCTATAACGACTTGCACTATTAGAAACTTAAACTTAGAAACCTTTAAAACCTGACTTGGTACAATATATTTCTCTTGGAGAGTTCATAACCCGGTTTGTCCAAACCTAAAAATAAAAAAATAAAAAGCTTTTTTTAGCATGAGTCATACAGTCCACTCCCAATACAGAAGAATCAAGAATGATATTCATCATTCTGAAAAGTTTTCACTACAAATGACACTTCACTTATAATCATGAGCGCCATCCAGCAAACCCACACAATCTTACATTTTACAGAATTCACTGTCCCAAAAACGAAAAACCTGGATACAATTATGATCCAATCATTTTCCAAACAAAATTGTCTTTTTTTTTTAATTTGTAAAAAAATGTCTGATCATAGATATATGCTACCTGCTTAACTGCAAAGAAAAATCAAGTTGGTTCTACCATTCTACCTACTAAGTAAGAAGTCTATAAAATGATAATTTTCTATTCAAATCAAAACTGACGTTTTGCAGATGGTGTCAGAATAGTACAAGAAATTGAAAATTCCATTGCGAAGACAAATGGAAAACCGTCCAGAGATCTTTCTTAACCACATCCTTTATCAACCTTTAGAAACCGTCAAAGAGAAACTGCTCGGTCCAGGGGAGTTGTCACTACCACACTCAAAAATTACACTCCAAATCTCACCCTTCAAAAGACTGTTCTGACCAAGCTGCCCTCTCCTCATTGATAGGACACCCATGGAAACTTTCTAGCTTATAACCTGACTCCCATTCTCCAGCTAAATACTTATCAAGACACCCATGGAAAAACCAACAGGAAGAAGTAGAAGAGGGAAAGAAAGGAAAGGAAATCAAGTCTGTAAGAGACGTCATGGCCTATTCATAAGGCCAGTCCAAACATCAATTCAAGTCCAAATTCATCAACAACTCCAATCAACATCAAGGCCGTTAATTAGACCTGAAATTAAAAAATTTAATCCCACATCCTTATGAGAAGCATTTCAACCCCTTCTAATCCACCCCAGAGAAAGGCCAAAACTTTAAAGAAGAAAGAAGCTAAAGTTGCGGACAACACAACTGATATGATTCCCACCTCTGCCTCAGTTGCCATTTTGAGCTTAAAACTTCTAGGACCTTGGATATAGATTATGCACGTAACTGAATCAGAGCTTCAAACTTCAGGTCCAGTCGGTTCGAACAAGTTAATATAAGCTAAAAGGTACATTTTGCTAAATAAACTGATTCTAGTCCGAAATAATTAATCTAGCATAACTTGTAACAAACTTAACATTTTTGTTCAATAAAAGTCAAATTTAAACCTGATATTACAGATTACAAGTATAGAAAAGACATGATAGGTTAGGAATTGCTGCAAAGGTAGCATCATCAGCAAAAAAATATTCCAGGGTTAAATGCAGCAAGAAATTAACTGGTACCATGAAAATAAGTTTCATATTTTGTAATTAAGGAATGTAGCACCTTCTAATTTGTAGCTTTAGAGAATAATGGATGTAAGCAACAGGGGACATCTTTTAGTATGGTAAGGGAAAATGGTTATTACCTCAACCATGAGAACACCAGGCATGATTGGCCTCTCAGGAAAATGCCCAGGAAAGAAATTATCATTTATTGTTACATTCTTGATTGCAACAGCAGAAACTCCAGGATTGTATTCAATCACTCTATCCACTAAGAGAAATGGAAACCTAAACCACAAGAAAAAACAAAACTGCACATTAAAATTCAAATATAAATTGGGTTTCTTCAAGAAAATTAAATGAAGTTTAAAAATAAAATTAATTAATTTAAAAAAAACTTATTGAATAATGTATCTCACAATGCTTCCTTATTATTTCGAGATCTACAGAAAACATAAATAATCAACTTAAACATAGGGCAGAAAAAAGATAAAAACAATGGCTTTGACTCCACTGAAAACAGTAAACACAAGATTATAAAATTCTATTATCAAGTTCAAGAAAAATCTGCAAGGTGGGTTTGCCTGCATGTTTGCTTGTTTTTTTCTTTTTCCCTGACTGATCTAAACAACACAAGAAAACCAAATTTGACACTAAATGCTGCAGATAAGGTAACTCACCGGTGAGGCAAAATTTCACGAATCTGATTGATATCCATGACAGTAGGAAATGCTTCATATCCTGCAGAAATGCAAGTTATATTGTGAATGAACAACTGAACCAGAAAGAGAGAAGAACAACTGAAACCCATCAAATCAAAGAAGAATTCATACTCAATTCAATAGGGGTCTCCTTGTCGGGAGCTTTTGCAGCATCTGTGGAGCAACAGGTAGTGAAACGACTTGAATTTCTTCTAGTTTTCAGATGAGTTGTTGATAGGGGCAGAGATCTAGGAAGCCCAAGGCCAAGAGAGACCCGTGAGAGAGATAAAGCAGTCGTTGGCTTATGAAAGATCGGTGGCTGCGAACTGGGAGCAGGAGAAAACAGAGTGGTGGAGGAAGCTGCGGTCGACATTTCTGTGTTGTTGGTGGAAACAAAGAGAGAAGCGAAGTGAGGTTAGGGGCAATGCCTGTGTTTGTTTGTGCAATTATCAACTACGGGCATTTAAAAAGGTCGGAGGACGACAGTAACGAGGCAGGTACTCTTCAGGTTGTGAGATTGTGCAAAACGTCAAGCGGTTTGTTTCGACTTTCAATGGCGGAGATAACAAAGTTGTTCATTTGTTGTTGCTGCTAGTATCCATTGGAAATTGAAAGAATAACATCTGAGGAATGTGCACTATGACTCTGTAAAATGTTAGCGCGGTTAACTTCTTGGTTACCACATGTCCATCCAATAGTTATAGTAGTAAGGTCATTTGGTATAATTTGTTATAAGGGTTCCAATGTGAGTGATTTCAGATAAGCCAATGATCACTTTTATGGAGAATCGCTTCTCTATATAATCACTTGACTCGTTTGAGAGTGCTTCTAGAAGGGTTAAAAGAGCTTATGACAATGTTTGGCAGAAAAGTTTAAAAGTGTTTTTAGATCATAGAAGTGCTTTATGAAGAATCACCTGCCATGTGTTTCTTCATAAGGCACTCCCAAGTGCTTTTCCAAAAAGCACTTTGAATTTTTTTTTATAATGAAAATTTCAATATCTTTATAATAAGAGTGCTTTTGTTAGAAGCGCTTATAAGCAGAAATGTTTTTTAAAGAAGTATGGAGAAATATGGAGAAGCACATTCAATGTGTTTCTCCCCATGAAAATTGAAAAGTAATAAATAAAGGGAGCTAATTTTCCTACATCTCTTTTGTCCACTTTCCCTCTTTTGTATGTTATAGCTAAAAGTATTTGAAAAAATAAAAAGGAGTAAGTGAACAAAAAGAGAGTAGAAAAATCAACACCCTAAATAAAATAAAAATAAACATAATAGAAAGATATGTCGTTAAAGAAATGTACATTCTTGGAAGATTGGTCATTGTACCAGCAAATATTTACACACCAATGATAGAAGGCCACGTGGAAAAGAGGAAGTCCATAAGGATCAAATTGCCCATGGCCAATAAAAAACTTACATGTAACGGGGATAGTATTGTTTTGCTATCCTGGCCAATAACACAATGACACATGGAAAAATTATCCTATATGTCGTTACGTTATTAGTCAGAGATAGCAAAAAGTGCTATTATCATTACATGAGAGTTTCTCTCCATGTCCAGGGGCGGGAGAAAGTCATATGCATATTGGCATGCATTAATTAGTTGGCAAATGTCACTTCTTATGCCAACCATGATTATTTTTTTAGGCAGCAGGCCTCCCGTAAATTAGCCAAAATCCTCAAAACCTCCTTATTTATTACGGCATCGGTAAAGAAGGAGATTACACTCATCCAATTCAAATAAATATCCCTACATTCCCTAGTCAAATGACTAGTTGACTTGACGTGCAAGCCAACATGTCTTAACATGCCCAATCAACGTTCAAGACGTTGCCTGTAACAGGAAAAGAAATCCCGCTTTTCTCAAAGCTCTCATTATACTTTGGCATAAGAGACTCTTTGGCTCACAACACACTAGTGTGCTCAAGGGCTGATTTGGTCTTTCGTCTCTTTGTTTTAAGCACAAAGGCCTTTCCAATAATTAGAGAAATTCATCCCCCACATTCATCAATTTGAAGAAGGAAAGGCAAGGAACATTTTAAATATTTTGGATTTAATTAAAACTTTATGCACACATTAAGGTCGAATTCTTGCGAAGGCTCTAACCCGTGGGGAAAATTGTCATCCCTACTCGAACTTGACCTTATTGAGAAATCGACTGAATCGAGTTGATTTATTGATGGACCGACTTAGTTGGTGAAATTGTTGTACAGTTCGACATTGATGCTCATAATTCAGGGTGAGCAGTTTCCGGCAAACGGCTTGAGTTGGTTGGGTTGCCGAGCCTTTGTTTTTTTTGTTTTTTTGTTTTATTATATTTTATCTAACCCATGAAATAAGTATAGACAACCTGTTATTTTACTAAGTAAGATTCCCTTATTTTAAAATAAAATTTATGGAGATGTCATGTTTTTGCCACGTGAATGTGAATGTGAATGCGTATGTATAGGCTAAAAATAAAAGAGCTTAAAAAACAGACTCTGCTCCTGCTGGTCCAACACGCCTGCGCCCCTTCCCACCTTCCCCCATGCATCGGATTGCTTGACTCTTCTCCCTCTCTTCACAGTGGACAGAGACAGAGAGGGAGAGAGAAATTATGCAATTGAAGCCCTTCAACTCCTTGAGCATCGCGTTCATGATGGGTGGCGCATTCTTGATCCTTTTCCTCTGTAGCTTCCTCGAATTCCCTTCTATATCAACCTCAATCCAGCCCATGAAAGATCCCAATCTCTCTCTATCTCTAACCAAGTCCACGCCTGACCCATTTACCAATTTGATCAGTGCCTTCAAGAAATGGGACTCTCAAGTGGGTTGTGCCCATTTCAGAGGCAAGCATCATGAGGCGTTACTTCAAAGCGAAAATCAAAATGGTTCTTCTTCTTCTCTGCAACAAGTTCAACTTGGCATTGAATCTGAGTGTAGGGACCCCAAGGTTGAGCATATCAGCGTCATGGTCAAAGGGTGGACTTGGATTCCTGATAATTTGGATAATTTGTATTCGTGCCCGTGTGGGTTGAGCTGTTTGTGGACTAAATCTTCCGTTCTTGCTGACAAGCCTGATGCCTTATTGTTTGAGACTACTACGCCTCCGCTTCAGGTACCTCCCTTTTTTTTAGGCTCCTACTGTCATTTTTGTTGTTGAAGATTTCAGCTTTAAGGGTTTTTCCACAAGTTGCAAATACACAGATCTGTGTGTCTCCTATTTGATTACATTTGTTTATTTATTTATTTCTAATTCATCATGGTTAGCTAGTTTTCCTTCAGATCATGAGAAAATTTTCCCCTTAAGGAAGTTGCCTCTTTGAGGCATATTATCAAACATTATGGAGGCAACTCTTAATGAACAAACCAGCAATCAAAGAGCAAGCACCAGAGTCCCTTTTTTCTGTGTCGGGGTTATGGGAGGGAAGTGCCAAGGGTTAGAGTCAAAGCAAATCAATAGCTATATGTGTATTCAGGTGCTTGTAATCCATGCCTTTACGTTACTACTTCCCTAATCTCGCAGAAAAGAATAATTGCATACAAATAATCCAATGTTAAGAGGCATCCCAAATACCTGCTTGAGCTTTGGAACTAGCTTTTGCCCCCTTTTACTGTTGCTGCCAACTCTGTCCCCAATTACAGGCGCATTTTGCGTTCAGTTCCTACAATGATACATCTAACTTGTTAGTTAACTCCCCACAGTTCTTTTGGCATATATTAAGTTGAAAAAATAAGGATTGCATAAATTGAGGCTCACCTTTCTTGATAAAATTGTTTCCTTATCTCACTGAAACAACTAACAAGAAAAAATGATGCATCAAACTCATAATTTCAAGGGAAGCTCACGCCTTACCTCACCTTGGCAGACTCATAGTATTTCTCTTTACATATTTTTTGAGTTTTGAATTGTATGCTACTCCAGATTTGAGTTATATTTGCTACTTAGCATGCAAATGACTTTGAATTGATCTTTCTTGTTAACATATATGAAAAATATGTGTCCACATTTCAGCTAACTAACTTAGCTAAGGTGGTCGAGACCCTAGGGTTTCAATAAGTCTTAATTGTAACAACCCAAAAAGTGAAAAGAGGAAATAAGGGGAAGAATATGTGACTTGTGTATTATGTTTACCTTATTAGTTCATAGAAAGTACAAGAGAGAAAGTGGAATTCAGAATTTGAGAGAAATTTAAGTGGAAATAAGAAAATGATGGTAGTGGTGTTGACATGTATTGATAGGGGTGTTTGTGGTGGGGTGGAGGTGATTCTGGCACCAAGGGCTTAAGATATGGGTGGTACCTCTGGTAAGGTACTACTGGTTTTCCCACAAACAAGAGAGAGTTAATGGCTATGATTGTTATTTATAATTGGCATCATAGTTATCATAATCTCCATTTAAGAGAAAAGTTGCAATAAGCCCATGGTTTTAATATACTGGAATCTTACATGTACATACCTCTTTTGATCATTGTATGGACTACACCTTAGTTTTTATTGATTTCCCTGGACAAACTATCAGTAGATGTCTGTTTTTATTCCCATTTGTAATGATATCTCCTTGCAAAAGAAAATAAAAATTCCCTTTGTACTAATAATCAATATCTGCTCAACATTAGCTGCACTTTTCTTAACATATCCTCAAGTTAGGAAGTTGTTTGTTAATTCCTGGTGGCAAAGCAAGGAAAATGAAGTGATGAGGCTGTATGGACGACAGTGTGTGGGTGAGCCATGGTTGTTGAACTTAGTGTGGGTGGATGTGCTTTAGCCATCTGTTGTAACAATTTCTAGGACTTCCAAATTCAAAATCTATTTGAAGGGGATCCTCATGATAGTATTGGTTATTAACTAAGGAGTTAATCAACTTAACTTCACAAGATAGGTAATGGAGCTGTCCTCTTTGACTACTAGGTTGTGTTAAACTTAGTCCTCCTTTTATATACTTGCAGATACATTATGTAAAATCCTTCAAGTGCTTGTGGCAACAGTTCTTAATGACAATCTCCAATCACTTGTGACTGTACAATAAAGATAACAGCAGCTTCTTAACTTTTAGCACATGAAGGGTCTTTGAGTCCGTAAACCTTTTACCACTGTTCTCCTTGTTTAATGTACTAGGAAAAGTCGGTTTCTCCTCTTTGCTGCTGAAGACTAGGTATTCTGCATACAATAGAAGGCTAGGAACGATGAGAATGTACCTTAGGGACAGGTCAAACAGAGGGCTTGTTTGTGGCACTGGAGAATCTTCTCTCTTGTTTCTTGTGTCGCTGAACCTCTCTGCAACTCTAATAGGGGATTGCAGGCCAAACCTTATCCATGTGAAAAAAGGGATACTGCAGCAAATAAGGAGTTCTTAGTTAAGCATGTTTGGGTTAGAGTAGATGAGTAATATTTTATGAAACTAAAGGATTGCCTTGTTTCTTTTTCTTATCATCAATTCTTCAATATTTCAAGTCACTATATACTTGTATGTGTCCTGCTATGGACATTTGCTCAAATGACCAATTTCAACCATCCATCACAGTCCTACCCATTTATGCAAGCCTGAACAATTGAAATATTTCTATCCCAAACATTTCCCTATACGTTATCTATAATATTTGATTGAAAGATATTTGGGTCATTAATAGTTAATGTGCTTTG